ATCCAGTTGAGGCGAACTTACGGAAATTAACGCTCCCAAAGCCATTCCACCGGCAAACATAGTCCCGGTTCAGGGTAGGACCTCTGGAGTTCGCGCATAGCGCCCAGCGACTGCTCATGCGACTATAAAAGTACGCGGCTGTGGCAATGACCAAAATGTAACTAGAGTGTATCAGAGCCTGTGTAGTACAAAGAGGTGCTAGGTGCGTAGTCTTACGAAAAAAGCGAACAAAACCAGCGCTTGCCGCCTACAACACTGTACCAACGCTTCTGTTTACCGGGCTGGTATCGACGTATTCTTCGCGCTTCCGATACGTTCAAGATACTGTGACTTTCCTCAATACAGCAATTTTGGGTTGAGATGTCCGGTTTTAGGACAAATGTCTCGATCGCGTCGCCGATCGTAACGATGGTCTCATAATTCATCCACCTAAGTACTATGACCATGAGAGTAACCTTCAGCATATTGCATGCAATGACGATATACAAGATGCTCTGGTTAAGCTGTACTTGGCACCGCTCGGGTGAACTTTCGCTGAGGCAATCTGCAGCATGTGAGTGAGACACGTTTCCACAGCCTGAATGAACTTACATAAGAGATTAGAAAGGAAACCGGCGCTGAATCCGATCTCTGTGGCGTTCATAGCGAAAAATGAGAGTGAGCTGTTGGCGTTGTAATCGCTTGGGTAGTCTGGTGCCATAACAGCGAGGAAATCACTGGCCCTAATGAAGGTGAAGGCGTAGCGACGAATGCACTCAGGGGCAGAAATGTTCTCGAACGGAGACGTTTCCTGATACTGCTTGTCCAGAAATGTGTCCTGTAGAGCTTGAATGTGGTGACGGTACTCATCATCATCATCCTCAAGCTTCCATCCTCCCTTCGTGGTGAGGAAAGATTCGGTTATCACCGTAAAGTTGACGGCATTTGTTGCTGTTGTCTGGAATATGACTGAATTGTACCTTTCTTCGTTTAATACATCAAAAGTCCGGTAATTTGGGCGCTCTATATACTCACAGGAAATGTAAAGGTAGGCTGCTTACGGCAAGCAATAACCATACTGTCAGCCTCCTCTTACTGATGTTGGGTAGATTTCTCAGACTCAAGACTCCCACATCCAGCGATTTGCCCTTCTTGTGAGCTTTGTCGATTTCTTCTCTCGTTGGAGCTACAAGTCGTTGTAAACAATAACTTGACGCACCCAACAAGGCGCTGCTCAGTATATTGATGAGGAGTTGAAGGCCTGTTGTTAAACGCGATGCATAGGCACATTTTCCTGTGTAGATCGTAGCAATCCCGTCGTGTGGGCTACCGGCTGCAGCAGCTACTATGGCGCATATGATGTTAAAGAGCAGGACAAATGACGAGCCAATAATGGCGAGAACAAAGCCGCCGCGCCAGCCGCTGAATCTGACTTGCCGTTTGTAGGATAACAAGAGGCTGAAAGTAACGGAAGAAAAAAAGGTACCTGGAGAGTACTTCATCTTGGAGTACGGCACCAGCGCTTGCTGAATGATAGTTGAACGGCCATCAGCTGTTATGTATCCATTTCTCATCCAGCGTACGCATGCACTGCCGCCAGCACAGGCGCTATGAACCAAATGTGGAACGATTCGAAGAAAGACCATGCATCCAAAAGTAAGCAGCTGCTGCATTGAGTACCCACGTTATTCCGCATACGCCTCGACCAAGGAGAAAACAGAACAGCCTGGAGACTACATTGACGCTATGGTTTCTGGTTTCGCGTCTTGCAACCCAATGTAGTCTTCAGACCTGTTCGGTTTACTCCTAGTATAAAGTGCACACACCATTTGTGGGAGCGAAACCTTGAGCAGGTCCCCGGAACCTTGTGGACTCGGCGAGTACAGGATTGGTGATAGGTGGCCCCCAATGTGTCTTATCGGAGCACGGGCTCATGACGGCAGGTCAAAAGACTTAGAAGTATTCGACCAAGGGCCAATACTTCTACGCTCCACTGTTGCTGCATCTCTTCAATTGAGTTGACGTTGCGCGGACCATACCTTTGGGCTCGGCATGACGAGCACTGCCCCGGTCCGGGGTAATTCATCCGACCAATGGGATGTTTCGTAGGAGCAACACACGTAAGCGGCCCTGCGACCCAAATAAGTTCCGCACGTATCAATGCCGTGAAACTGCTCACCAGAGACTTTGCCACATGCAAGGCAATAGGGGAAACGGTCGGATATTTGGCGTAGCAAATGTCCATCGTTTGGTTGGCTCGATGGGGTCGGTTTTGGAACGGTATCCGCGGTACCATCTCAACCTTTGGCGCAGATTGGTGTGAATACCGCATCGGCAGACTTTGACCAAATTCATCGGCAATGCAGCCCTCTATCGCCACTGCTGCCTGCGCTTTCCTCTATGCGGGTGCTTCTTCGCTGCGCCTTCCGAATTAATTTACGGTGCAGCGCAACGATAACCCCCACCCTCAACCTGCGCACTCACCATGGATCTTTCCCATCTCCTCTCGTCTTCGCTTACCCCGGTGCAGGAGACTCTCATTTCGTACCTCGGCCCGAAAGAGTTCTCGACATTGATTGAAGTATCGACAGGCGTTCGTACTGCGCTCATCAGCGGGCTTCCTTCATGCTACCAGAACATTGAGACAAAACTCAAAACTTTCTTCCAGGATCCCAAGGCGTTCAGACAAGTTCAAGCCAACACCGGCGCGATCATCGGCGGTGACTTTGCCCGCAAGTTCATTGCTAACGAGCTACAAACACCCGTGCAAGAGCTATACATCTACACACAGTACTCAGAGGTTAAGCCCTTGGACCTCCGTGCCCCGATATTCGACTTCCTGGAGCAAGAACGCTGGATCGCTGATGAGTACAACAAGACGGGCTTGACCATATTCCGAAAGCCGCAGGCTGAGTATGATGGATTGACCATCTGTGTCTTGGATTCGATGCATTCTCCTCTCTTGAAGTTGCTCAACGCGGCTTCATCTACCGCGACATTGAACTTTATCACTTGGAACAGGGCATACTCTTTGTTCCCGCAGACTACCTTTATCGACAAGCAGTGTTACGTATTGCAGAACCTGCCTGCGGATAAGACCGCGGGTATGGTAAAGCGACATGGTGATTACCTTCGGGGTCTGACATGCGACGGTATCCAGACTCGATTTCTGCATTGGGAAGATAAGTATACGAACCTTGTTACTCGCCCCCGCCGCGTCGGCGATAAGTATACGTATACGATTGGACTTGACCCTACAGGTATCGATTGCAGCGCATTAGCGATACCGCAGACTGTCGTGGAGTTATCTACCTTTAAAGTCAAGCTCTGGCATTGGAGAAACAGCAATGGTGGACGTGGGCCGATCACAAGTTACGTTATGAGTGCAATTGGCGTGGATAGCGCTGTCCTCAAACAGTCCTATGTAGTCCTGCATGAAGACGAAGAAGATCCATTTGAGCCCGACCAGCCGGCACCATCTAGGCTTTTCAGAAAGACGATCCATGTTGTATGCCAGGTCCGTGGCTTGACGAAATTGGAGCTTGCAAAGTTGCCAGAGAGCGACCGCCCGATCGAGTACAATAACATCATTAACGGGAGGTCTCGCGAGGCGTTCGGGTGGAAAAGCACCAAGGTACCAGAGACGTGGTCATACTACGACGACGACTTTATGAAGCAGCTGGGGAAGCTGTGGAAGGAGCACGAACGCGACGAGATGGAGAAGGGCGATCAACGAACTAGCCAGTAATAAGAGCGACTGGAGGCGAAGCCGGGGCAAGTTGACGGTTCGTCGGACGAGAGCGAGGATGAAGCGGCTTGATGAAGAGCGGATGGTCGTGCGTGTTGATGAGGTACGTTTGCGATGAAATGGCGTCAGTGCGGGTTGAAGGACTCGTAGACAACTTGTGGTATAATGTCAGTCATCCAGCTGAATTAGCGTCATAGATAGTGGTGGCCAGCATGAGGCGGAAGAACAATTAGCGTTCTGAACCCAAGCCTTCCGTATCTGTTTGTAGGACCGTCCGTGGTTTTGAAGGTTGCAGAGTTTGACTTAATGATAAGCTGCTCCGCTGATGATCGTGCGTACTGGCTGATGCGGGGTCCTTTGTGACGAAGCGGGTGGATGACCTGAGATCGGAGGTTGGATTCTCACAAGTATGCGCGACCATACGGGGTGGGGATAGGATGAATTGGTAGGCGACGCGGTGACGCGATGTGATGTGGTGAAGTGAGGAGTCGCTTCCGTAAAGAGGAGAATGCTGTCAGCCAAGCCGCTAATGTCCGAATGCGGTTGTGACGCGTTCAGTCGCGCCGTCGACGCGTCGGAACTTCATCAGCAACACCCGCCGCTCTCTACCACCAATGCATTCGCGCTCCGCCCTCCGCCGTGATGGATCTCATTGCCAAGGCGCTCTTGGTACCTCAGGATGCTTATTGCGCTTCACGACTGCTGTTTTGGGAGTTCCCAATTCACTGTCAACGAACTACTGATCGAGAGCAACCGATGAAGGACCCATTCACAATGCCGTCTTTTGTGAAACTTGCGCATCAGTGCTATCACGGTTCCAATGCGTGACAGAAGCTCTTGCAGAACAATTGAGCTATTCTTTTACATACTTTACTACAGTATTGAAGTCTTATCCTGGAACACTCGTATCTATCGCCTGAACATTCTCCAGCCGACGCCGGTATCAATCTTGTACTTGCAGTCATCATAGCCTCACAGCGTACAGTACTTTCCCCTATGGATTCTCTCGGAAGCAAGCAAACATCGGCGAACATAGCCCTTGAGTCAACTGTGCTATCGCGATGCTTCAAGTAGCAAACTTGCGAAGATGATGGGATTCACTCGGCGGAAGCGCCTCGATAGGTTAAAAACATGTGTGAGATTTCCTTTCCACCCTTCATCAGCTTACAACCTCCCAAGCTCTTAATCAGTCACTCTTTGCAACTCAACCGATCAGAATTCGGGTGATACTCGCTACTTCTCCTCGACACTCGACCCTGTTCACCAAGGCATTATGTCTCAAGACCATTACCAAGACAACAATAGTCATTCCAACTACATCGACTACATCCTCAACATGAGCCCGCAAGACATGCAACTCATCCATGAAGCTCAATTCCAGACAACTATGGATAACGAGGGCGCAATGCTGTCTGCCAATGGCGACCCTGTGTACTTTGCTCAACCTGGCATTCAAGACTATGGCATAGGGAACTATCAGCCGAATGATGTTCCTCTATATGCACCTTACGATGGTCAGTATCAACACGGCTTCGATGGCTACAGCCAACCGATGCTCGAGCAGTCTTCACCCCAGCATTATGCAGGCACCCCACCTCCTCGTTATTTATCCATAGAGCCTGCCAGCGCTACGAATACGCCAACAAACTCGGTGGACGTAGACTCGCCATTCGACCCCTGTTACCGTTACATGACACCCAGCCCATCGGCACCCTCTCAAGCTACTGCAATAGCTCTAGTTCAACCCAAGTTTTTTGGACTTTCGTTTCGGAATCTGGCAGAAGCGAAGGATAGCATGCTTAACCGCTATATCGAAAACGACTGGGTGCCGCCTGCCAATGACAGCACTATTCCCACTACTGACGAAGATCGAGCTGAACACGTCGCTGAGCTACTAGCAGCAATGAAAGACGTTTCTGCCTGCCCGGACAACCAAGACAAGGACCGATTTGCGAAACGATTGACTCCAGGTGCTAAAAAGGCGATTTATGAAGACCAGATGGAGAAGGTGTGCTGGCAGCTAGTTGACACCGCTGAGAAACTACATGTCTTCGGCCCGAAATCATTCTCTATCTACGACACAACGCCACTGGAGACGATGCACAAATCCCGCAACCTTACTTTTGGTGAGCGTATAGATAGTCTCTGTGAGCTCTTACGGCTTTCCAAGAGCCGCTGTTTCTCGCTGCTCAAGGGTGAGAATCTTGAAACTACTGTGGGTGCGGCTCCCGATAAAATTACGGGCACAATCCTGAACAATGGACAGAATCGAAACCGCCAGGAGTATATCGCAGAAGGTCGGGTGAGTGTGAAGGAGAAAAAGGCTACGACGTCACCGGAAGATCAAGCCTCAGTCACGGACGGTGATAAGGAACTCGATTCAAGCGTCGCAATGAACCTGCCTTCAAACGAACCTGAAGAAGAGGTCGATCCAAATGTCTCGATGAGCCTGCCATCATCCGAGCCTCTGCCACCTACCGACGCTGGAACGAGTATCATCGGTGATCTCCAATCGAACAATACCCAGACCGTCTCTCAGTACGGGGGCGACAATGGCGGGCAGTACGAGAATAACCAGCACGTCACTGGGAACTCTTACTATTATGGCCCTCAACCTGTCCTCCCTCACTCCGTGTCCTCGCCCGAGATGCTTACACCGAACATGCTTTCGCCATCCACCTCGTACGCCCCGGCTTCAACTCCAGTGTCGTATGGGCTCTATTCACCGAGCACGCAGCCATCGCCGGTGACGTCCTGGACGCCGACGCCGTCTTATATGCCGCACATGACCGGAGGCTATCCGCACACTCCATACCAACACCCGTTTGCGATTCCTAGACCCAACCGAGTGTTAAAACGTAGTGCCGAAGACGCACAGCTCGGCATGGGTCCATATGCACCCGTCCAGCGCCCACGCTTTGATGATCAAGAGGCCTACTGGCAATGAACCCGGGCCTAATGCGGAAGAGGATGAAACTGTAGGATACTGGTGTAGTTGTAGCCGGTTCGTATGAATCTAGTCTATACATGGAAGATTTGGTATTAGTAACCAGTATAATGAATGTAAATCGGACACAGCCAAAGCTATTCTGCTCGGCCCCAGACATATGAGATAGGCATGCCATCATCGCCTGCTTGATCTATCAAGAACCTTCAGCCTGGCCCGCCTTTATGCTTCTTTCGAGCCAGTCTCTCAACTCATCCATTAACCCACATTGCCCTTTCGCCACGAACTTCAAGAGAGTTTTGGCACTCTCCGCTGGTAGAAACACCTTGTATGTGTCGATAGCCCCGGTCTTCTTGTGCTCCTCCGGCAGTAGTTCTCTCACTATCATACTGAACCAAACTACGCACTTGTTAGTGTGAATCGACAGCCTCGCGGAGATGAATTGACCTACAAATTCTTTGGTATTCGCGGCTTTTCCAATTTGCAACGCCTTGCGTATTCTCTAAGTCTGACCCGGCGCCAATCTTGAGAGAGTCCATTTTTGGCTCTCCGTCCTTTTCTCCGTGCTTGGGGTCCCTCTTTGTCAGACCGCTGATATTCGGTGGTTGGATCCAGTCGAATAAAGGTTCCTTATCCGGATCTTGTTCGAGGTTCTTGCTGTATTTGTACACAGCGTCTTTCTCTTCCTTGGCCTCCCAACCAAATTTGATTTTGCAATTAGTCTTAGCGACGAAGTCGACCGTGCAGGATGGGAGTGTCGTTCCGTTCCACAAAACACATTGGACCACCGAAAGCTCTCTGAGCTCATCCCTAGTTTTGGCTTTGGGGTTGACTAATGCAAGCCGAGGGTTACCTTCAGCTTGCAGCAATAATCGCGGTGGTGCTCCGACATCGATCAAGTTCTGGAGGGCAGCATGCCACGGCTTTCTTCTTTTCAGGTCGAGTAGTATTGGGTCATCTCGCTTTTGGTGTTGATCTTCTTTCTTAATTTCCTCGTCATCGTACTTTAAAGCCATCGCGTAGGGAGCCTAGAGGTGGGAGAATTTCTTTTGTTGTAGTGTTATAGAAGTGAAAAGGTATTAGAATCGCCGAGCCCAATTTATACTCCAAAGGGTATGAGCCATCGTATAATATGACTGGATTGCCTCTGTTTGCTGTGAGTTGTGTTGCCTGGCAAATGACTACAAGCTGAATGATCTGTGTCTAACGGGAGAGGGTCGACGTCGCACTTGAAGTGCTGAAGGATCAGTCACCGCGTCATGATCGTGTTGACTGTCACGGCACGGCACGTTACCAGTCACAAAAGCGTGCGGTGTGACGTGAACGGCGATGAATGGCTATACGATGCGTGCGTCGTAAGCGCATACAAGCGGCTACCTTTGGATGTTGAATGAGTGGCATCAATCCAAATTGCGCGATCTGCCAATACGTGATACCAACACCCGACGATGGTCGCATGGAAGCCAGTGCGCTTATCAGCGATGACGACTTCAGCTCCTACGAAGAATTGAAAAGAGTCACAGCATATGCTCGTGCAGGACCGTGGGGCTGTTAGACAAGCACTGGCACCCATGACGATAACAAGCTTCACCAAGATGAGTATATAAGCGCCAAAGAACAGGTAGTGCAGGCTTTGTATGTCAAATGTACCGAGTCAGTCTCCATGTTCGGAAGATCGTGAGAGCCCGCGCCATTAAGACGGATTTGGGTCCTGGATGAGAGTGAAGATGTTGCAAACTGCTGTAATTGTAGCTAGTTCGTATGAACAGTGCCCGTGTTGAGACACTTGATTCTAGGCTACAGCACAATGAGAAAGCAACCATGTGCACCTGATAACCTTCGGCTCTTGAGCATTTGAGAAACACTTGCCCTTATTGCCTATTAACATCGCAAAGGGCCTGGGGCCCCACGCTGCCTCGCACTATCCTCGACCCATTTCTTGAAGTCTCCCGATATCGTTTTGTCGCCCGCCTTTACAAACTCCGAAAGGTTGTTCGCATCATCTTGTCGTAGAGGTGTCTTCATGTCAATAGCCCCGTCTACGCCCGGAAGGGGGTTCAGCCTCGCCACTATCGCAAGATATACTGCGCATCATATTAGTCTGATAGGGTAGACCACGACAGCGTGAGTGAACTAACGGCCTTTCTGGACCGTGCACACGTCCCACTTCTCCCTGCTTCCTGTGTCTTCGGATAGGGACCAAGTGGCGGGGACCGGATTTTTCGGCGTGATCCACTGCTGCATGTCTCTAACTTCTGCTGTCTCCCCAAAGCATTTGCTGTATTTGTATATCCATCCTTCCCTCTTGCGCACGACCCAGCCAAACTTGTCCCTGCAGATTTCGATTCTGTGATCCTCGACGCTCGCGTAACCAGTATATTCTCTTCCGTCCCAGAGAATACACTCGACCTCCCATAGTGTATGGACCAGTGCAATTCCACCGTCTTCGTAGGCTTTTGCCACAGCTGCCCCTGATGCACCAGCTTGGACCAGTTCAGATCGGGCAAGCTTGAGGATTCTCTCTCTCTCTCCTGATGAAGAACCTGAGTGCCTGGACATATCGTACTGATCTTAGTGTGTGGTTCTCGGGTAGTATGGGTAAGATAAAGAAGACTTCCTTTTTGCAGGACTGCAGGGAAATTCCAACCGAAGAGCTGCCGAGCCATCTTTATGCTTCAAGTTGTCATGAGCCATGACGCGTAAGTGACTGTACTGAGTGACTGTCATCAGTGAGTCGTAGCTGTGTACCAAACACGGAGCCGTTTTCGAGCATTTGGACGACCAGAACATGATATAGGCGGGGAAGGAGCCCGTGCGAGTTGCCGAAAGGTTACACCAACACATGACGTTGGGCGCATGAGATTCAGTGCGTTCAAGAGAAGTGACTGCTCCAATGCAAGCATGCTGTCCCAAAGAGTCACAGCCCCGCATCATGACGACGCGAAAGCCGTGGCATGTCCTTGCGTACACATATAGCACTGCGTGGCTTTCGATTAAAGCAAGCTCAAAGACGCGGCGTTGGCGAAATCGGCCTCACGAAGTGTCCAGTAGGCCCATGCGCACCCTTACTCTTCTTTGCCGACATCGCCTCTGGCCCACTCAGGTCCCTGCCCTTCTTCCTTGTCTTTCGCCAACTTCTTTTCAAGCTCCAGCCTAGCTTTCTCGCCAAACTTCTTCTCCCATTCCTTGTCTCTTTCTTTCTGTGGCGCGGCAAATTGTGTACTAAGACCGCCCCTGCTCTTGACCTGCATCTTCTTCTCTGCAGCCTCGTTCTGCTTCAACTGCTCCTCCGCGCTTTGTATCCTGCGCTTGAGGCTAATTTCAAACATGTCTCTTCCTTTGTGCCTCCCCTTGAGCCCGTTGTCGTCTTTATCGAAGTATACGGCCCAGCGCAGCCCTTCCTTGCCCCACGGTGTGTCCGGGTCTTCGTCGGCGCCATCCCATTCGTCGATGGCCATGAAGCCCTCCCAGCCTTCGAATGTGAGATGTGTCTCGTCTTCGGTCCAGTCCCAGACACCGACATGATGCATGATGCTGCCGGTGCGGTTCGAGTAGCGGAGCTCGTACGTCTTCTTGTCGCAGTAAACCCAGTTGAGCATCGGCGGGTCGTCGCTGATCGTGGTGACCAGCCCTCTCTCTGGCGGACTCCTCTCTTCATCTGGATATGCAATGTAGAAGCCCGCAAATGGATGCAGAGGCTCCTTCCCTTCCCCATCTATTCCCTCCGGCCACATGGGCTTGTTGTCCGCATCCCTCGGCACGACCCAGACTTTGTCGTGGCGCACGACGAGGATGCCATTGTCGATTTCTTCTTTCGCGATCGGGTCGGGGTCGTCGCAGGCTACGAGGCAGTTGAATTTCCACATGCGCGACTCGTTGGCGGCTTCTTCGTTCTGCTTCTTTTGGTGCTCGACACCTTGCGCGACGCCCGTGACGACGGGGATGGCGACGACGCAGCCGCCGAGGAAGATGCTCAGAGGGAGTGCCATTTCAGAGTATTCGATCGAGGGGTGCGTTATGAATTCAGGGCGGTGGCATCGTGGGAGATTGGAAGGCTGCTGTCTGGCGTCCTTCAGTCGACGCGAGGTGGGATGCGAAATCGCGCTGCGTCATGATCGACAGGAACCTTCCCCAGATGGGCCTAGCCTCACATCACGTCGCTGCCACAGTGCATCCAAACTCACGGAACGACACCTTCTCGGCTTCATGTGACCTCCACGGTCAGCGCAAAAACGTACCTTTCATTTCAAGATTACACCGTAGTTTTGGTGTCTGCTGAGTGTACCCGCGCTCGACGAGATAGCCATGGCTAACCACAGCTTGCGGTTGACTCAGAATGCAGAGAGGACCACACATGCTAGTTGCTTGTTGACAAAGGGAGATTCATGATGTGAACTATGGTACGTTCTTGCTATTGCGTTGACTTCATTGGCTGCGACAGTAAATGCAGCGAGTCTGGTTGGTCGGCTTGGCCCACTCTCATCCAGCCGACCAGAGTTCAGGATGGATAGTCGCGTAGAGTCAGAGGTACCTGTACCATGGAGTAAACTGTAGATTCCGGTAGGTTTGCTACTCATATATAATATACTCTTCTGCTCTCATTCAAACTCCATCTTGTCATCTCATCTCATCAACATCTTCAACAAGATGTTTCGTCTCCTCCTAGCAACCGCCGCCGACGCAATGTGCATGCATCCAGACCACCTGGGCGAAGATCCCACTACGCAATACATACCGTCTTCTTATCTGGCTCTAAACCATCGTAAAGCATCCAAGAAGCCTGTTCGAATCCGCCGTCCCCTCCGGTCGAGTGTCCCAGGAATTCACTGCCGAGCGAGAAGCCCATCGCCATGCCCGTTCACCCACCAGCCACTAGCGCGAGAATTGGAGCAGTTTCCGGCATATGAAGAACATGATGGTGATTGGGAAGAGTGGAAGCGGAATAATGACCAGGTCACAGTTAATGACCATGACATCGACCACTGCATTCGACACTGCAAGCATCGCGTATGCCGCACCATTACCGACAAAGACAGGAAGCGCAACATCGAGCCCAAACAATGCAGATGTTGCAGGCAACTTCCCATCCTCGAAGACACCAGTTTTAAACAAGAAAGGATATCGCGTCTTCGACTCCAGGACATTCTGGCCGCCCGAAGAGCATACGAGATGACCGGTCCTGGCGAGACAATCACTCTGGAACTAAACTCCGCCACCGCCCTAGTCAAAAAGATGCGAAGTATGGGATATCTTGATGTTACAAGTTATCTCCGCGGATCCAAGCACTTCACAAGAAACACCACCCTTTACCCCGCGCAATACCTCACCGCCACCCGCGCAGCCAACATCCTCATCTCCAAACTCCTCAACTATCTATCCATCACGCTATCGCCCCTCGAGAACCAAACCCGCACTCTCACCATCGCGGATCTAGTGAAAGAGATGACGGAAGTCATACGACTGGACATTTTCTGGTGGGTATCTGAATGGTGTTTCCGCAACCAAGTGGAAAGAAGAGATAATGCAATGGAGAGAGCATGGAAGTTGAAAGGGTGCTTTGGCATGGCGAGGAGGGATTGGACCAAGGGAAGGATGAGTAGAGGCGTTGAGGTTTTGTTTGAGAGGATGGTGGGGATTGTGGAGATGGTAGTTGCGATGCTCTTGTGGTGGGATGGAGAGATGAGGACGGAGAGGATGGAGAATCTATGGGAGGGGTCTGAGAGCTCTGAAAGCGAAGAAAGCAGCGAGAGTGGAGAGAGCAGCGACAGCGACGAGAGCTGCGATTTTACCTGGGACTAGCGTGCTTGATGTCTCGTACGCCTGATCAGCATCTTCACAAGCAATCAAAGAATGAAAGCTTCCGTGTGCATCCCCCGCCATCAATTCATGATTTAGCAAACCCGGACACAGCGCTCAGTGCACACACTTCATATGCGCACAACGTCCTTTCTCAGACAACCAAAACCATCTCAACCAAGACCATTGTATTTCACTCCCTTCCCCAAGCAAACATCTACGAAGCACCCTTTCACTCACAATCATGAAGTTCACAGACGCTGACTTCCTGTCCACATCCCCACCTCCACCTGTACCTCCACGTTCACATCTCCGCATCAAGATTCCCTCCTACCGCCTGCGCCTCCCCGTCGCACCTCCATCCCCCCTTTTCGACGGCATAAACCAAGACACAAACACTCACCGCTTCCCCGCTTTCCAAGACGTTCTCAACATACGCAAGAGTGTGCCGCCACCAGAACCGCACTGTACACTCCACTGTAACCACGGAGTCTGTGTGAAACAAATGGTAGAAGAGTTTGGTAGTCCGCTATGTCAATGCGTTGTAGAGGAGGAGGAGGAGTGGAGTGTGGAGTGGTACCGACCTGCTATGGAGCTTGAGGAGCTGGATTTAATGTCCATTGCTCAGAACACCGAGAAGTATAGTCCGGAGCAGCAGATTGATATCCATATCGAGGACGCGATGAGGGTAGTCGCGTACCTGGAACCGCGCGCCTTGGCTCATGCGATGGACGACGGGTTTCTAAGACGCGCTATGCTGGCTGATTTTGGCCAGGATGAAGAAGTCGCGACGAGGGACGCGGTTCATCGGTTCTTCTATCTAATGCGGGTATATTTCGATCGTACTCTTCATTCGCCGGGCCACCGCGTTGTGAGCATCGAACAGCTGCGGTGCGAGTTGGATGTGTATGTCTGGACGCTGCTGGATGAGTGGGTGATGAAGTATTGCGACCGGAAGACGCAGCGGTTGGTGCTGAAGGATAACGGCCCGGAGTGTATATTTAACGCCACCTTTGGTGCTCCGGCGGCGGTGCTGGAGCTGTGGTATGAGTGTATTGAGGATATTGTTGGGGTATTGGTATGGCGGGATGAGGAGGTTAGATGGCGGAGACTTGAAGGTGTGATTGGGTTTTGTGTTGTATTGATCATGTTCTTCTTATTAGTCGGTATTATGCTTTGGGGAAGTTTGGTGTCGCATGTCTAATGGCGGTAAGGCTAAGTCAAAGAGGAGAGTTCTTGGTATCAACATTTAGTTATGAGGGTTCTACACCAAACCGCACTTTGGAAGCCGATACAATTCAGCGTATCATCCCATTCATGTCAAATACATGAGCTCATCTTTCCACGTACTCAGCATGGGGCAAATAGCTATCTGCATGTGCATATGCTGGAACGAGTAGGCCTTCATCAGCCCAACAAAATGCAAACACGCAGCAATCACCACAGCGATGTGGAAGATCTGGTGCGATGAGAGCCACAGGTCAAATTTGCCTTGTTTCCAGCACTCTGGGAATTGCATCTGTCTTCTGTTAGTCCAGCTATCGTTGAGCGTTGTAAGCACTACTACATACCATAAAGGGAACCAGGCTAGCCAGGCAGACGAAGCCGCAAGCCAACCCCCATCGTAAGCCTGCCATTTCGTCCATTCGTTCCCAACCATACAATTGAATGCCCCTCCACAGCGGAAAAATACCAGCGGCGGCAAAAGCGACGAAAAGCGGAACTACAAGGGCCTGTCCCCAAGACTTGGAAGCCAGAGGCGAAGCAAAGAAGAGCAGCATGATAGCGCCAACAGCCGTGAACTATGTTTCATGTCAGCAGCTTCTAACCCACTTCGTAGCACCAAATCAACTTACAATAAGCATATAGGTGCGCATGAGCTCTACCTCGCAGGTGAACGTGTAGTATAGCGTCGCAATCAAACTGCCCCAGATAAGACACGTGATGCCCGCAAAATCCAACTGCTTGCCAGCCGTCGCCACAGATTCTGAATGGTCGAGAAAGATGTGGTACGTGACGGAGAACGACATGCACAGTACCACACCGCCGAGGAATGCAGACAATGCCAGTAAATCACCGTTGCGTGGGGAGGGGAACCACTGTTTTGGGCCGCCTAGTTGTGGTAGGTTGTAGGTGGTGAGAAGCAAAACAATGACTAAGAAGAGTAGGTGGGTGTAGATGTTTCCGGTCTCGTTATGGAGGTATGTGAGGCTTTTGATGGATTGGCGGTATGAATTGCGGGCGGAACGGTATTTGCTGACGATGTATTGGTTTTCTTGGCGCCATTCTGGTAATTGTCCGTAGTTGACGAGCGGATTCCCAATGGAAGGATCGTGCTTTTGCCCTACAGTGGTATCTTGTGGTCCTGATGACATCTTCTCGTTTTGGTTGCACATGTTGTTCTTGGTGATAGTAATCTGGGCGATGTACTACGGCAACTTCGAGCAGTCGTAGCTATTATAACTGATACAACCCACATCTTCTCGCAGATGACGTCTGCCACAATTGTGCTAATACAGGTACAATAATTGGCGTCGCCTTGGCTAAACGTTGACAACTTCTTGGAGTGTACTCCGGAGTAATGGTAGCACGGCCTGTAGTCGCATCTGAAGGCGAAGTAGCCGGCTGCTCGGCAGTCTTAGGTTTGCTTAGCTCAATGTTCGACTGGTAGACTACCATTAGACCAAATTTGGGGATGTAGTTTGCTTGGCGCACGATTAGGCTTCTGGAAACCGTTGGGCGGGAATGCGTAGCGTTGCCGCAACTCCGTCGTTCCAAGACTCTGAAAGTCTAGAACCTCATTCCCGACGTATTGACTGATCTTTGGCGGGAGGTGCGTTTGCTCTAAGAGAGATCTCACACCTGCCCCGCTGCATTTTGAATGTCGGAAACATTGGTTAAATACCAGGTAGTGTTATTGGAAGTGTCTAGGCATCGGATCCTGAACGATACGAGGCGTAGAAATTATATTCGCACTGTCTCGATGACTATAGATTAGAATGTTCCAATGCGGAGAGTCGCAAGTCCATCAGACGTCGCCCACTCCGAAGTTGACCCCTTCATGATCGAAGGCGAGCTAGCATAGAACCGCATCCTGCACTTCTCTCTGATCTTCGAACGAAGAACCATGTACTTGCTAAAGCCCATAACCTCCGAACATTAGTGTACTGAATGCTTCGGAGAGTCGTATTTGGCTCTCCCGGATCTTCCGAACTATTTCTTCTTCCGTTTCCGAAGACCAAAGCGAAGCCTCTCTCGATGGCTCTATAGGTGCAACCATGAAGTTGTCTATGTATTCATCGCGATACTCCATTTTGTTCCACTCATCTGTCAAGACGTCACTATCTGACCGGTTCAAAAGCAACGCCGCGCGACTATAGTGCCCGTGTACGTCTGCCGCTTGTACCATGGTATGTTTGTCTAGCAGTATGACAAACTTTGGGGTTGCAGTCGATCTGGCCCAATGCGTTCTCATCATGCCAAAATCGTACAACTCACCCGGTTGATGAAATTCGACATCTGTCTGCACTTTGACGACTTCCGCATTCCAGTGTTGCAGAAGAGGCCCAGTTTGTTTGTGAAGTGTATCGAGAAGCTGAACAAGACGAATGCCTCCAATATCGTGGATGCGCTCGAGAAGTCTCAGCTTGGGGTTCTCGTATGCCTGTATCGCGTAAACGCCGATTGTCTGACAAGGTGGTTGCGTGGCAAATGTTGAGTCTAGGCATCGGCGAAGGCCTAATCCGTCTACATCCGGGCCTAGTAGCAGGTTTGCTGCAAGTGCGTTCGTTCTAAGGGAGACCTCACACCTACCTCGCTGCATCTGAAACCGCTCTCCGAAGATCTCGGCGACGCAGGGTGCGAATTGAAATTGGGTGAAGTCCAGCCATTGCGGTACCGGTAAGCTGGTGTCATCGTACTGTGTGCCAGTGACCCTTGTCCAGAAATACGCATATGTGGTACGAAGAACGTCTATAGTCTTCTCGGTCAACGCTACAGCCTGGGAGAGGCGAGCAGGTGCATATAATATCTCGCAACCTGGACGCTCAAGCCGGCAGGCCTTTTCTTCAAAGTTCTCGAGTTCTTCGAAGCTGGGCTGTAACCACGCTGGGGTCTTTCCAGAAATCTGAGCATCGCCATATTCTACAGGATCGTACAGGCGGCGGTTGTGGTTGTCAGATTGGAAAATGTGTTCGATAGTGCCGTGCCATGAGCTTGACACTCTCCAAGCACTCAGTCGACTGTAGACGTCCAACCGACAGAGAATGTTCTCACGCAGTTCAGCGATCCCAAAGGCGCGTCTCGCTGCAGGTTGCGCGACTGCTGCACTGATTAGCGCGGTAGGCGAGGATGATTCTGCCTGGGCCGCAGTCGAATTATTTGGAACGTAACAAAATTCCGCCTTTCGTCGATTAGTGAGGGCGATTATGCTTTCCTTCCACGATTGTATCTTGCGCATCTTGGCGGGTTGCCATCTTTTGTTGCCTTCCAGGCGTGCATTTTCGTATGCACGACTCCATCGAACAAAGTGGGCCCGCTTCTCAGGCGTAATATTCGAGATGTCGTCTTCGGTCATCCATTCGAAGATGAGCTCTTCATCCGATCGTGTGCCCGATGGAAGTTGGAGAGCTGCGTCGCTCATTGTTTTGGTGTGGTGGTGATGATGATGTTGGCTATGGATTATTGTACGGGCGTTGCAGTTATCTCTTCAGCGGTGCTGACGTATAAAGCTGCAGCCTGGAGTGGGGTAACAAAGCCAGATCATCGTTTGCGGGACACACGCCTGGGTACCACTAACATATCGGACCGCATTTGGTAAATGGCGATACAGGGACAATTGTTCCATGGCTACGACGTTCCGAATAGTCTTAGTTGGCTGTATGTGGATTTAAATTGGAGCGCGGTCTCGGCGTCGGCGGGTGGAAGAGAAGTGCAGAAGGCGCTTGGACGATGCGATAACATAATCTCGCGTAACCCGCACTAGATCTAATCTAGATTTGCAC